AACAAAACATTTAGCAATTTTTCCATTTGTAAAGGAGCATAACTCTAGAACGGTAAAAGTGACGCCACCAAAATTCAAACTTGATCTGTATTTAGTGGTAATAAGCATTGTATATTAGTTTCATGACATTTGGTTGAGGCAAACTAAAGTTAGAGAACTGAAACCAACTTTTGGACGGACGGACGGACGTACAGAAGGACAAGGGTAAAACTTAATGCCTCCTCCGCTACGGTGGGGGCATAAAAATCTGTTTGGCCTCTGCATGTCATCAGAAATAAATGGGGAATGTGTCCATGGGACACATATGATGCCCCTGCTTGCATATCATATAAAGTTATAAAGGGACATAACTGAAGAAAGGTAAAAGTAACGCTACCCAAATTTGTACTTGATCTGAGTTTTGTGGTAATAAGCATTGTGTATAAGTTTCATAAAATTTGGTTGCGGCAAACTTAAGTTAGAGAACGGAAACGAAAAATTCAGCAATTTTTCCATTTGTAAAGAGGCATAACTCTAGAACAGTAAAAGTGACACCACCAAAATTCAAACTTGATCTGTATTTAGTAGTAATAAGCATTGTGTATAAGTTTCATAACATTTGGTTGAGGCAATCTTAAGTTAGAGAATGGAAACGAAAAATTCAGTAATTTTTCCATTTGTATAGGGGCATAACTCTAGAACGGTTAAATTGACACAACCAAAATTCACACTAGATCTGTATTTTGTGGTAATAAGAATTGTGTATAAGATTCACATTTGGTTGAGGCAAACTTAAGTTAGAGAACAGAAACTCAAAATTTTGCAATTTTTCTATTTATAAAGGGGCATAACTCTAGACAGTTAAAGTGACGCCACCAAAATTCAAACTTGATCTGTATTTTGTGGTAATAAGCATTGTGTATAAGTCTCATAACATTTGGTTGAGGCAAACTTAAGTTACAGAACGGAAACTAAAAATTTGGCATTTTTTCCATTTATAAAGGGGCATAACTATAGACATTTAAAGTGATGCCACCAAAATTCAAACTTGATATGTATTTTGTGGTAATAAGTATTGTGTATAAGTTTCATGACATTTGGTTGAGGCAATCTTAAGTTAGAGAATGGAAACGAAAAATTCAGCAATTCTTCCATTAGTAAAGGGGCATAACTCTAGAACTGTTAAAGTGACGCCACCAAAATTCAAACATGATCTGTGTTTTGTGGAAATAAGCATTGTGTATCAGTTTCATAACATTTGGTTGAGGCTAACTTAAGATAGAGAACGGAAACGAAAAATGCAACAATTTTTCCATTTGTAAAAGGGCATAACTCTAGAACAGTTAAAGTGACACCACCAAAATTCAAACTTGATCTGTGTTTTGTGGTAATAAGCATTGTGTATAAGTTTCATAATATTTGGTTGAGGCAAACTAAAGTTAGAGAACGGAAACCAACTTTGGGACGTACATACATACAGACGGACAAGGGTAAAACTTAATGCCCCCTCCGCTACGGTGGGGGCATAAAAATCTGTTTGGCCTCTGCACGTCATCAGAAATAAATGGGGAATGTGTCCATGGGACACATATGATGCCCCTGCTTATATAAAGTTATAAAGGGACATAACTGAAGAACGGTAAAAGTGACGCTACCCAAATTTGTACTTGATCTGAGTTTTGTGGTAATAAGCATTGTGTATAAGTTTCATAACATTTGGTTGAGGCAAACTTAAGTTAGAGAACGGAAACGAAAAAATTCAGCAATTTTTCCATTTGTAAAGAGGCATAACTCTAGAACAGTAAAAGTGACACCACCAAAATTCAAACTTGTTCTGTATTTTGTAGTAATAAGCATTGTGTATAAGTTTCATAATATTTGGTTGAGGCAATCTTAAGTTAGAGAATGGAAACGAAAAATTCAGTAATTTTTCCATTTGTAAAGGGGCATAACTCTAGAACGGTTAAAGTGACACAACCAAAATTCACACTAGATCTGTATTTTGTGGTAATAAGAATTGTGTATAAGTTTCATAACATTTGGTTGAGACTAACTTAAGATAGAGAACGGAAACGAAAAATGCAACAATTTTTGCATTTGTAAAGGGGCATAACTCTAGAACGGTTAAAGTGACACCACCAAAATTCAAACTTGATCTGTGTTTTGTGGTAATATGCATTGTGTATAAGTTTCATAACATTTGGTTGAGGCAAACTAAAGTTAGAGAACGGAAACCAACTTTGGGACGTACATACTTACAGACGGACAAGGGTAAAACTTAATGCACCCTCCGCTACGACGGGGGCATAAAAAAGATTGATGTAAAATTGCATTTTTTTCAGAATTTTCTGCTGAATTTTCTAGATTTTGAGAAAAAAAAATTTTCTATTATATATTAGGGAGCTACCATTTGATTTTTATGGGGGCTAGGATGAAAAATTTTGTCCTGCCTTTTTTTTTAGTTGTAATCTCTGTCCTGCCTTTTTATTTTTCACTCTATTCGGTCCTGTCTTTTTTTTATTAGTTTATCCTGACATTTTTTACATAAATTGTCATCCTGCCTTTTTTTTTCCAAGTTGCTCATCCTGGCTTTTATTTTTTACTCAAAACTCCTGTCCTGCCTTTTTTTTCAAATTTCATCTTTGCCCCCCATAAAAATCAAATGGTAGCTCCCTTACAAACAGGAAATCTGTTCCTTGATTTCAATGACTTATTAAGTAATTATCTTTTTGTCCCCTTGCACATTATCATGTATTGGCTAGAATGTAGACATTGACCCACTTTAAGATGCCATCTTTGTCGGACTTAAAACTAATGACAACAAATAGTACAATAAAATGCTCCACAGGGCGCAGCTTGATACGACCGCAGAGGTCGAACCCTGAACAGTTGGGCCAAGTATGGACACAACATTCAAGCTTGATACAGCTTTGCATTTGGATTGTGATTAAATATTTGACACAGCATAGGTTTCTGACACAGAATGAATGTGGTCTAAGAACTTAAAAATTTTAAATTGGACATTCACCTATTATGGTCCAATATCCAAAATCTAAATACATGGTTAGATTCAGCATATCAAAGAACCCCAAGAATTCAATTTTTGATGAAATCAAACAAAGTTTAATTTTGGACCCTTTTGACCTCAATGTGGACAAAGTTGATAACGGGGCCCAAAAATCAAAAATCTAAATACATGGTTAGATTCAGCATATCAAAGAACCCCATATATTCAATTTTTGTTGAAATCAAACAAAGTTTAATTTTGGACCCTGATTTGGACCAACTTGAAAACTGGGCCCATGATCAAAAATCTAAATACATGTTTAGATTCAGCATATCAAAGAACCCTAAGAATTCAATTTTTGTTAAAATCAAACTAAGTTTAATTTTGGACCCTTTGGACCTTAATGTAGACCAATTTGAAAACGGAACCAAAAATTAAGAATCTAAATACACGGTTAGATTCGGCATATCAAAGAACCCCAATAATTCAATTTTTGATGAAATCAAACAAAGTTTAATTTTGAACCCTTTGGACCTCAATGTGGACCAATTTAAAAACGGGGCCTTAAATCCAAAAACTAAATACACGGTTAGATTCAGCATATTAAAGAACCCCAAGAATTCAAGAATAAAACCCCATTGAAATTGGTCAAGAAATAAGCAATTTATACGAAGTATCTTCTTTTGCACAATACTGTGCAATTAAATATTTCTTGCTATTGCGCAATACTGTACAATTGACAATTTCTTGCTATTGCACAATATTGTGCTATTGGATATTTCTTGCTATTGCGCAATACTGTGCAATTGAAGATTTCTTGCTATTGCGCAATACTGTGCAATTGAAAATTTCTTGCTATTGCACAATACTTATCATATAAATAATTTACACATCCTGTTTGGTGTGTATCTCCTACCATATCATTATTATTTGCTTTTAAATATAAATCAGAAATAACCAACTTAAAATGGAAAATTTTAAAAGAAAAAAAAAGGAAAATAAAAAAAATCCCCCCCCCCCCCAAATTTTTTGAACCCCCTTATGATTCATCACCCCAAAACTCAATTCCAGCCTTTCCTTTGTGGTATGGTACCTTGCAGTACAATTTCAGAGAGATCCATACACTTGAACACAAGTTATTGTCTGGAAACTAGAAAAATGTGTTTTTTGGCCCCAAATTCCTAAACGTTTAGGGCAATTACCCCCAAACTCAAACCCAGCTTTCCCTTTGTGATATGGAACCTTGTAGTACAATTTCAGAAAGATCCATACACTTACACACAAGTTATTGTCCTGAAACTAGAAAAATGCTTGTTTTTTGCCCCTTTTTGGCCCCTAATTCCTAAAATATTGAGGCAATTACCCCCATCATCAATCCCAGCCTTCCCTTTGTGGTATGGTACCTTGCAGTACAATTTCAGAGAGATCCATACACTTGAACACAAGTTATTGTCTGGAAACTAGAAAAATGCTTATTTTTGGCACCTAATTCCTTAACATTTCGGCAATTACCCACAAACTCAATTCCAGCTTTCCCTTTGTGATATGCAACCTTGTAGTACAATTTCAGAAAAATCTATACACTTACACACAAGTTATTGTCATGAAATTAGAAAAATGCTTGTTTTTTGCCCCTTTTTTGGCCCTTAATTCCTAAAATTTTGAGGCAATTACCCCAAAAATCAATCCCAGCATTCCTTTTGTGATATGGAACCTTGTGGTACAATGTCAGAGAGATCCATACACTAACACACAAGTTATGTCTGGAAGTTACAAAAATGCATATTTTTGGCCCCTTTTTGGCACCTAATTCCTTTACTGTTGGTACCATAACTCCCAACCTTCCTTTTGTGGTATTGAACCTTGTGGTAAAATTTCATAGAGATCCTTTCACTTAAACTAAAGTTAGAGTGCGAAAACCAATGTGTCTTCGGACGACGACGACGCCAACGTCATACCAATATACGACCACAAAATTTTTTTTGCGGTCCTATAAAAACAACAAACAAAAAAGTACATTAAAAGTAAATGGTTTTAATGTGAAAATAAGACATATGCATTCAGGCATGTAGAATGTTTGGTATTACAACTCGCCAAGTAACATGAACAAAAAAGAAAAGTTTATACAATTTGAACAAGGATGAATTTTGTTTTATATCTATAACATTAATTTTCACAATTCTGACAACTTTCCAGACAAATACTTTATCTATCCTCACTCTGCCACTAGATGGAGTAAGGATTATTTTGGCATTGACAGTGTCATTCTAACTATGATTTACTACACTTCTTCTCCAGAAGGAGTAAGGACTGTGTTATTACTGACATTTGCATTCTAACAATGATTTACAGAAGCAGTATTTCAACTCAGGAAACAGGCAATATTTTGTGCACATTTAATAAATATAGGTTATGTACATAACAAAAATGTGAGGGTTTATTCCATGAAATTAAGAGATAGATAAATACTAGTTTTATAGATGATTCATGTAAACTTCTTTTATTACGATAGATGTAAATTACATGTATCTGTGCAAATAAACAGCATGATCCATGAAAGAAAATTAGTTAATTCTTGTTATAATTTGTGTATGTGAATGTAATCTGAAGTTTTAAAAACCTAAGAAACTTGATATTAAAAAAATAAAATAAAAATGAATAAATGAAACGTTTCTGTACAGTGCGTATTATTTTCTATCACTATTTATTTATTCATTTATTCATCTATACATATATTCTCAGGAAATGCCCATTCAAGTAAAACATAACAACTTTTTCCTACAAATATTTTTTGTCCTTTTTTCGGGGTTGTCAGGCATTTCATCTTTCTCCAAAGAAGCAGTCTGCTACTATTCTCTTCTCCCGCCACCTCTTTTTTATTCCTTGCAACTTAGAGCCATCTTTTTTTTGGTGCCTGCCCCTCTTTCATGGAAATATTAGTGTTATTAAAATAATAACTTATAACCATGTTAATTATCTCTACATAACAGTACTACAGCATGCAAGGTTAAATGTAAACCATAAACAAATAAAATTATTGTTATCATAATAATATGTATCTCTCAAAATATTGCACATTCATTGTTACTTAAAAAAATAATCATATAGAATCCATTTAAATTATTCTAATTGGAAATTTATATAACTGTACAAAGTCAGTAACATTGATTTATTTCAGAACCTTAAGGCATGTTTAATCAGTAGTGTCATTTTCACAAATCAATCTGCAAATGATCAAATGAAAGGGTTATAAGTTTTGAGTTTCAAAAATGTTAAATAAATATTGACAATTTTTTTATGAGAACAATTTTGTGAAAATAAACCCATTTTTAATTGAAAAGCAAATATGAAATATTTCATTGTGGAAATATTACTGAAATGTCATGTACAATTTAATAAGCCAAACGTATTAACAAAGTAGCAATACACTCATTGAACCAAACATGGATATTCCAGGAAAATCTGGAGGAAGCCAGAAATAATTTCAAATATCAGACTCTTAATAATATATTCATTTCAAGCTTCTATTAGTTTTCCTAGCACAGGCTTTAAAACAGCAATTATATATTCAAAGAATATGGTGTCCTATAATGTTGAAACATATATTTATATATTATTGATGGTTTTTCAAACAAGAGGGTGTTTCTCAGATGAGATATGGCAGAGACACATCCTAGAGTTTGAAAGGCCATTGATAATCTGTTTATCGCTATTTTGCCTATGACATTGATGTTTACATTGACCAAGGCATGTGCATCCTTAGTTTCTAGCGATAATTTTCTATCTCAATCGCGTAGCATGATATGAAAAATTATCACAAAAAAAGATCAAAGGAAAAATACCAAAAAAAGCGATAAATACTATTTATAATACTGAACAAACCAGACTATACCAAATTACACCATTTGTCATACACATCCAAGGTGAGCACTGTAGGAATATTTTTTACTTTATATTTGAGATCTGCATGAATAGTGATTAATGGATGAGAGCTGTATGATTATTTCTTTAGTGGTTAATTGGCGAGGAAAATTATAGTGGTTTATGAGTGAGGAACATTTTAGTGGTTAATGGGCAAGAGCTGAATGAACATTCTTTACAGCACTCTGAGTAACTGTGGTAATCTTGACACCTGAACATAACCACTAAGTAAGACATACCATATGTAAGATTGAAAAGCTATTTACAATGACTCACAAAAATATCAATTACCGTAACATTGATACAGTTAACCAGGTTGTTTGAGGAAGCTAAACTAGAAAACTTCACCTGACTTCTTTAACATGAAAGTGAAGTCAAGGCCACAATATATAAAGGTATTAACAATTGTAAATCCAATAGCAAGAAAAGTTACACCAATGTTTCACCTTTTGCAACTTTCATATACCGGTAAAACGGAAAGAAATTTTTTTTTTTTTATTTGCACTATAGACATCTATGGTTGTTATGTTATAAATTATATCTCGTCATGTATTGCCACTGAACGTTAAGCAAACAACAATCAATCAATCAATCATACATGTTAGTATATTTTTGGGGTGATAATCCTTATAGCTTACATATTGATAAAATTCACATGAACAATAATTTGATGACTCTGATTAACAGTGGTAATGCTGATAAAAATGAACTGCAATCCTACAGATTGATGTCTATTATATGATTGCCATCCAATTAGATTGTTTAGATTCCATATCTTTATGGGAGGTATGACAATATAGAAAATTGGGTATTTGACAATATGATTTCAAACATTAACACATTGTACGTAACGATTGTGGTTATATTTATCTAACGAAGTTATGGTTTTATGTAACAGCATATGGTATTATACAACTTTTAGCCAATTTTTTTTTTACAAAATAATTTAAGCACTGTTAGCACAGAAATATATTATGTGGTTTTGTCTCTTAAAGTGAGAAATTAATACCATCATCACATCTGAAATATATTTGCATGAAAATCTAAAAACAAAATACAAGTGAATAAGTGGAATGTTTAATACCACTTTTCCTGCACCAATGAAGCTGAGAAAATCCTTAAGCTACCGACCATTATATGTGGAAACATTTGATCCGTAAAACCGAACAATATTCTGCCACACATTTTATTGTACATTTACAGGTGTAAGTATCATTTACAAAGACATGGTGTCTTGTCTGTAATTAGAAAATTTCTTTTATTTACAAGGAATTACTATCATGTTACAGATACAGGTATTATTTACAATGAAATTTATGAAGTATGGCACCACAAGGATATAATGTCATGATTGTACATATAAAAGAAAAAAGAGAATTTAAAAATGTCTGATGTTGTAACAATTCTAAAGTCAGTTTGTTTCAGAAAAAGAGGTGCAAATCATTAGAGTCATTTGAAACAAGCTTCTGGTGATTATAACATTAAGAAAAATATTGAACCAATGCATGCATATATATCAAACTAAGTCCTGTGTGTATCTTATTCTACATTTACTTTCAATACATAGCGTATAATCAACAACAAATAATTTATTTTGCTGAACATTTTCACTATTTACTATTCTCTCTATCCACCATGGTTTCTGCAAAAGTGGGTAAAAACAAGCATTCTGAGAGTATTGCATGGCAATACATAGTCCCCTACCAGTTAAAAATTCATTGTACTGGAACAAAATACTAACTTTATCTTTAACTTGTCATGGTAAGCATGACGAAAAAAAATGTGTGGAAAACTGATTATTTAAGTGACCATAACTCTGCACAAAATCATCAGACCAGAACAAAATTTGAACTTGATCTGTAACTTGTCAAGATGAAACTATAAACCAATTATCAAATCAATATCTTCAAAGCATGACGAAAAAAAGTGAGGAAAACTGATTATTTGAGTGAATTTTCTAAGTCCAAGGACCATAACTCTGCACAAAATCATCAGACTGGAACAAAATTCAAACTTGATCTGTAACTTGTCATGATAAAACAATACATCAAATATCAAATCAATATCTTCAAGCATGAAGAAAAAAAGTGTGGAAAACTGATTTGCAGGACTGACGGATGGACAGACAGACAGACAGAATGCAAACCTAAAGTCCCCTTCGACTTCGTCGGTAGGGGACTAATCATCTTGCAAGGGCAATGACTCTTATTTGGTGAACATTTTGCTTAAACAATTTTTTTCTATCTTAAAGATTCTGCAAAAAATGCATTAATTGGTAAAAAATGTCTTCTAAGGGCAATAACTCCATTAGACGATTTTGCCCCTGTTGACTTATTTGTAGATCTTATAATGCTGAAAATTTTTACTATTGAAGAATTCTTTCTATCTACCGGTACTATAGTTTCTAGCAAAAAATTTCCAAAAAGGGTAAACTTCATCATTCAAAGGTAACAACTATAAGGGGTCAATTGAAATATTTTTTGTCAAGTTTGGCTTATATATAGATCTTTTTGTTACGGTCATTTTTGCCCTTTTAATATTTCTCTCTATCTGCTAGTTTTTCAAGATAATTACCAAAAACTTTGAAATTTGCAAATAAAGAACTCCAAATGGATTGTCTGCTTTTTCCTGAAAATTTTATGGGTGATAGACCTTGACCTGCTGATCATTTTAACCCATATCAGTTTTGCTCTACCTGCTTTAGTTTTAATGATGGAAGCTAAAAACTGCATTTCAGCCCTATGTCCTATTTTTAGCAACAACAGCCAAATCCCAAATACAATTTCTAAACTTCAATTTCCTAAGTAAATTTGGTTACATTTGGCCAAGTAATTTCAAAGGAAAAGATTTACAACAAAGGACAGATAGATGGATGTCAAGTAATGACAAAAGTTCACATGGTCATTTATGCAAAGTGAGCTTAAAACAAATGAGATACAAAAACATGCCTAACCCCCAAAAAATTAAATTCAAACAAATGAAATTTTTTTTAAATATAAATGGTCTTTTGGAACCTAAAAAAAACTCAGTAAAAAAATTTTACAACATAAAAATTCCAAATTCAATATATCAGTGGTTTTAAGGAACCTAAAAACTCAGTAAAAATAACATTTTTTTACAGCATAAAAATTCCAAATTCACTGAAGCATGAATAAGAGAAGTATGAAGCCTAAAATTCTGCTTAAAAATAAAATTAACAGATGCTGTAATGAGACCAGCCAATACCAATAGAATTGGAAAAAAATCTAAATAAATAATTAGCCTGATTGGCTAGGCACAAAACATTATCCAAATTTGATAAAAAGTAAAATTTCTATGAACCAAAAGTATGATGTTTTTGTAAGAAATAACTAAACAAACAGAAAACAAAATTACAGGTCTAAAATCAATAGCTAATCATAGATAAAATAATCACATTATAACACAAAACTACCATGACAATAACAGATCCACTGTTGGACTAGACTAGTGAATCATCGACAGGATACATACAAGCTTACTTAAAGCAATATTAAGTATATGTGATGAGGGCAGCAAATTAAAATGTGTGGCAGGAGAATGAGAGAGTATGGTGGTTTATACTGAAATTTTCATAAATAAAAAAAAAGTACAGTTGTTGTCTTGAAAATCTATTGACATCAAATTCTTATTCAATGTCCTTATAATACTGATTAAAACAAAGTCTGATATATTTAAATGGACATCCAGACCCCATGGTTAAACTTCCCTTTACATCAGGTAATGACTACAAACTATATTTCAACTAATCATTCATTGTGTAGTTCTTGAACAGTATATAAATTGTAAAATAATTAACAATATATGATGAAAGTATCCGGTAGCAGTAAGAAAGTCGCAAAATTTTAAATGAGTACTAAGGTCTGTTACACTTTGAGCAAGAACAAACATTCACATAATTAGGATGAAAAATGGTGGATTTTATATGCAATACTGTGGATTCATTATTATTTTTGGGACCCAATTTTTCGTGGATTTCATGTGTAAATGTAACCCTTGAATATATAAATTTCAGCGATGTATAAATTTTGTAAAGGCTTGTATACAGACTACCATGTAATCAAATATCCACCAAACTCCAGATTTCCCTCAATTTATGAAAATTAGTACCCATGAAAATAAATGAATCCACAGTACAAGATCATTCAATAATATAGTTTACACAATAATGAATTCAGCAACTAAAAAGTGGAATCATTACACAGTCAAGGGAGATAACTGGTACACAAAAGATAAACATTCAATGTTCAGGTTTTTTATTTTTTTTATGATTATTAGTCTTATTAATGGAATCTAATCACAAAAATAAATTTTGGAAACAATACATAGCACAAAATTATCCATCAAATAAGTTATAAGTTACAAACATTTTGAATTTCTGTTATACCAGGAGAAAAATATTTGTATTCTGTCAAGTTGTTTTTTTGTTTGCATGGCATGTTGAATTTTGCAAGAGATGCAAGTCATTAAACATTTCTAAATGTGCTAAAATGATTTTCCTTTAAAATATGAGGTGACAATTGGGGAGCTGTAAAATAAACTAATTTTACTATGTTATTGCCATTAATACTAGTTTATAAAAATTTCAAAGTTTCAAGAAAATTTCACATAACAAAATTATGAAAAGTTTTTATTTTAAACCTCAATTTTTAGCATGGCAACTAATGGTTTATTCTTTAATTCTTTAATTCTTTTTTATCTCCTTGTACAATATATCTGAAAATCACTTAATGACAATATTATCTGAAACTGTATGGACTGCCCTGAAACATATTAAAACCTCTGGCACTTAACATCAAATATTTCCAAAGTTTTACTCTTCCCCATTTGTTACTGGACTTTACAAAATTTCCCAACTAATAAGAATCTTCCCTTATTCGAAATTTTAAATGTCGAAACTCAATTAAAGTTGAAAATTGAATTTAATAACTATACTGGTTGGAACTATAAAATCCTGTGAGCAATAAAATAGAGTCAATGTGATCATCACAGGCAAAAGTAAAATTGCAGCAATAAAACTGATTGACAGATATGTATGCAAAAAAAGGAATAAATTATACAATCAGAAATTATTTTCGTGTCCTGCCAGTACATATAGATTGGAATTTGCATTAAGATCGTCTGTTGGTCTGCTCTGTAATACAATAACCCTGCAAAAGATATGGAATGTTAAAAGATACCTGCTTCGGAAATCTCAACCAAAGCTAACAGTAAATATATGGTAAAATAAATTTACAAAATAAGTTCTGCAAATAATTATACTTATACATCGTATAACAAGATATAAGGAATAGATTATAACGTGTTTTCCCAATTGCATGCTCACTACGGACCCACCCAGCAACTGTAAAATTACAAAATATATTCAATTTGTATAGAACTGAAAATAGTTCTCTTTTTTTTTTATCATTTTAATCTTTTAAGCTTTTTTTGTGTTGTTATAAATTTACATGATTTTTTCATAAAAATGTAGGCTAAATACTGGTAAATGCCCTCATTTTGCACCCATGTAACTCATATATATTTACATTTACTTTCATCTTTTGTCCTAATTAATACAATTAGACATTAAATAAATTGCTTCGCTGAGCGCAGCTGGATACAACCGCAGAGGTCCAATCCTGAACAGTTGGGGCAAAAATGGACACAATATTCGCACTTGATACAGGTCTGAATTTGGATTGTAATTAAATATTTGACACATAATAGGTTTCTGACACAGAATAACTGTAGTCAAAGAACTTAGAATTGGTTATATGATTTGAATTTATAAATTTATAATAAATTGTTTTGCAATTGTGCAATACACCATGCTGTTGCCAAATGCCCCCCCCCCCCCCCCCCCCCAAAAAAAATGATTTTCAGAGCAAAAAATATTACACATTTTTGGCATGTCATGACATGATTTCTCATTTCCAGAGGTTGGCAATTATGACAAGTTATGAATTCTATGAAGTTAAAAGATACGTTTCAAGCTGATAATAAATTGTTTGTTAGGGGCCAGGTGAAGCCCGCCTCTGGGTGCGTGATTTTCTCACTGTGTTGAATACCTATTGATGGCCTTGGGCTATTTCTGCTCTTTGGTCGGGTTGTTGTCTCTTTGACACATTCTCAATTTTATTTAGTTGGGACAACAGATCTATTTCTATATTAATGGTAACCTGTATTACTTTTTATCAGAACAATGCAGAATATGCATGATGTTATCATTATTCTAACACATGATACAAATTCTTCAGCAGAACTACTAGACGACCAAATGTAGAACATATAGGTCCATAATATTATCCCAGAAGCAGAGGTTAGTCCAGATGTATTGAAGAAATGGGCCACTTTTTTCAGGGACAAAATTTGTTAAGATTTTTTATGATTTTATTTTCTTTCAGTCATGGTGGTAGCCATGTTTAATGGCAGTTGGGACCACTCTGATCTGGGAATGGACAAAAAATAAAAGTGTTACTGTCTTGTGCATTGTACTGAACTCTTCGTTGCTGGCATCAACCATATTCTTAGAAGACATCATATTGTTTCATTTACCAAAATGTTTGCCCTTTCCATTTTTTTCCCAGAAATTTCTTTCTGAATTTTTTTTCAAAATTTCTAATTTTTTTTATAATACATGTAATGACAGTCATGTTTGTTTGCAGAATGGACCATGTACTATGAATTCTTAAAGGTGTCTACAAATGTACCATACATCAGAAGTTTGGCAGTAATTGGTCCTCTAAATTTTTACGTTAAGAGAGGCAGTCATTTTTGGTGGTGGTTGAGATTATCAACCATACATCTTTAATAAAATCATTTACTTAAAGTTTGGTAGCAACTGACCTTTTATTTCATTTTTTAGTTTCAGAATTTTCGTACAAAAGTTCTGTAAAATGTTCTATTATTAGTCAACATGACAGCCATGTATGATGGTGGGGTAACCAACTGTAATTCTTTAAGACATGAATATTTGTATCATTTTAAATCTGTGTGCAAGTAATTAAATTTCCAATTTCTCCTTTTACCAAAGAGAAGTTTTGCATGTTTGATGCAAATGACGGATTTTAACATTTCATGTGAAATGTCCTAAAGGAAGAGAAATCTAATGCATAATAAAAGGAATATTTTAATGTTATTGATTAAGTGCAATATACCTTTTACTCAAACAAAAAGACAATTCTTGAAATAAACACTGTTTGAAGTTGAGAAAACAAAAATACTTCTTGTTGCTATCTTGGGATATGATTTTTTTTATACAACTTTTCATCATGATCAACTAATAAATCAACATTTTTCAAACTGAATGCATTAATTTCCAATAGATTTCCCAGAATAACTTGTAATGTTGAATATTTCATTATGTGGGCATTTTTATGTTTAATCTTTTTCAGTATATTCTGAAAGATGACTCTTGGTTGTCATGGTTATAAATAAACAATAATATTAGATATCAAAGATAAAAATATTAAATAAATGTGAAATCAATGATAAAAGAGACTTGTATTTCTTTCTTCAAAAGTTGAAAAAGAAATTCTCTTTGTCTGTTACAATATAACAATGAGACTTTCAGTCTGATTTTGAAGGAATTTTTCATTAATTGGATTTATGCAAATATAACTTATCCTTGCATTCCAGTTTTGGCTATCTATTTACAAAACTTTAGCTTAGTTATCTTTTTTGTTATATTTCAAGCACACTATGACACATATAACACTTATACATGTAATATCTGACACTGGACATTCATCTATAAACAGTAGTGTTAGACAATGGTTTGAAATTAAGATAAATCAGCAAATCTCACAGAAAATCATATTTGAACTATCTGCACTAATACTATTTTAATTTGAAAATGAACCTATAGTTGTTTACATCTTTGTCCTTTAGTTTTTTTGTAGCTAGTTGTCATATTGGCAATCATACCACATCTCCTCATTTGTATATAGGTGGATAGTTGTCATATTGGCAATCATACCATATCTCTTCATTTGTATATATGTGGCTAGTTGTCATATTGGCAATCATACCACATCTCCTCATTTGTATACTGGTGGCTAGTTGTCATATTGGCAATCATACCACATCTCCTCATTTGTATACTGGTGGCTAGTTGTCATATTGGCAATCATACCACATCTCCTCATTTGTATATATGTGGCTAGTTGTCAAATTGGCAATCATACCACATCTCCTCATTTGTACACTGGTGGCTAGTTGTCATATTGGCAATCATACCACATCTCCTCATTTGTATATATGTGGATAGTTGTCATATTGGCAATCATACCACATCTCCTCATTTGTATACTGGTGGCTAGTTGTCATATTGGCAATCGTACCACATCTCCTCATTTGTATATAGGTGGATAGTTGTCATATTGGCAATCGTACCACATCTCCTCATTTGTATATATGTGGCTAGTTGTCATATTGGCAATCGTACCACATCTCCTCATTTGTATATACGTGGCTAGTTGTCATATTGGCAATCGTACCACATCTCCTCATTTGTATATAGGTGGATAGTTGTCATATTGGCAATCATACCACATCTCCTCATTTGTATACTGGTGGCTAGTTGTCATATTGGCAATCATACCACATCTCCTCATTTGTATATAGGTGGATAGTTGTCATATTGGCAATCATACCACATCTCCTCATTTGTATATAGGTGGATAGTTGTCATATTGGCAATCATACCACATCTCCTCATTTGTATATAGGTGGATAGTTGTCATATTGGCAATCATACCACATCTCCTCATTTGTATATACGTGGCTAGTTGTCATATTGGCAATCATACCACATCTCCTCATTTGTATATAGGTGGATAGTTGTCATATTGGCAATCGTACCACATCTCCTCATTTGTATACTGGTGGATAGTTGTCATATTGGCAATCTTACCACATCTCCTCATTTGTATATAGGTGGATAGTTGTCATATTGGCAATCGTACCACATCTCCTCATTTGTATATAGGTGGCTAGTTGTCATATTGGCAATCATACCACATCTCCTCATTTGTATACTGGTGGCTAGTTGTCATATTGGCAATCATACCACATCTCCTCATTTGTAAACTGGTGGCTAGTTGTCATATTGGCAATCATACCACATCTCCTCATTTGTATACTGGTGGCTAGTTGTCATATTGGCAATCATACCACATCTCCTCATTTGTATATTGGTAACTAGTTGTCATATTGGCAATCATACCACATCTCCTCATTTGTATACTGGTAACTAGTTGTCATATTGGCAATCATACCACATCTCCTCATTTGTAAACTGGTGGCTAGTTGTCATATTGGCAATCATACCACATCTCCTCATTTGTATAATGGTGGCTAGTTGTCATATTGGCAATCATACCACATCTCCTCATTTGTTTATAGGTTATACTACACATACCTGTCTGAACCAAGCAATCTAAATGTTCTACTTTTATCACAGATCTCTTGAGTTACCTGTAAAATAAACCAGATAGTCTGAACTAATTGTTGATATCAAATCTTTATGCATATAGTACTCAGGTCAACTCAATTATATTTTCATAAATATAACTCATGGACTATTTTGACTTTAAAAATTACATTGATTATGTAATCAACATACTAATTTCTAGATATATTAAAAAGACATATAGTTATACTTCAGTGATGTGAACAGTACTTACTGAAACAACAGGATAAAACAGAAAAAGTTTGATATTTCCACCCCCCCCCCCCCCCCCCCCCCCCCCCTCCAACACACTTAACTTTTAATCTATAACTTACTGAATGATCTGGTCAACATTTGAATCTTTGAGAAACTATAATTATAATGACATTTCTTCAATGGAAAATATTAAAAGATGAAACACAATGAGATTTCCAAGATATAGGATTACACTTATTATTGTGAAACTTACCTCATTGGCCTTAAAACTTCTTCCTTGCATCCCATGCTTGTGAAAGGCTAAAACACTGTCTTGTAAACAAACTACAAAACAAAAAAAACTATAGTTATAGAGATATGATTTAACATACTGTAAAATATGTGGAGGGAGTCGGCTAGGCTATAATAACACTCAATGAGTTGAGGAACAGGTATTATTCCACCGTATGTAAATATTTATAGTGAAATCAACATTTGATTGGTTTAGACGATTCCACGTGACATTGAGCAAAACTTCATATTCCCCTATGAAATGATATAGTATAGTCATTATTGTGTTCAAAAGTATTTCAGATGTAAAACAAAATAGAGAAAAAATTGAACTCGTCATAGAATAAATTATTAACTTTTCAATGGTATTGCTTATCAATGTTTATGTCATGTTTAGTTATATAAGCGGATATAAAAATTGTATAGAAATTAATATTTTTATGTTCATGGAGTTATAAAAGTATAGGCAGTGGTATAAAACATTCATTTCCCTTGGCTTAGGGAGATATGAAGATTTGTTCACCCTCAAAATGTCATATTTCCCTCAGGCGATGCGTTCAGGAAATAATATTTTCTTGGGTGAACAAATCATCATATCTCCCTCAGGCAAGGGAAATAAATGTACATTACTGTATAGGCTAGCAACATAATATTTCCCTAAGAACATAACTAAAATTTAGCTTTCAATATTCTATGATATAACAATTTTGTGTATTTTTCCTTTGATTTTTTTTTGTGATAATTTTTCATTTCCCCCTACTCGCTCGAGATAAAAAGCTATTGCTAGAAACTAAGGGCACACATGCTGTTGTCAATGTAAACATCAACGACGTCATAGGCAAAATAGTGATAAACAGATTATCACTTGTCTTTCAAACTCCGGGAAGTTTCTCCTCAATTTTCCTTTGATCTTTCGGTATGATAATTTTCAAATCACGCTTTTTGAGCCATATGGGGTTTCCTCAGTGAATATTATCCCCTTCAACTTCGTACTTTATTTGGCCTTTTTAACTTTTTTTGAATCGAGCGTCACTGATGAGTCTTTTGTAGACGAAACATGCGTCTGGCGCAAATACAAAATTTCAATCCTGGTATCTATGATGAGTTTATTTGCAATATATAAATCTACTCAGGACATTGTTTACCAATATTCATGCAATAATATATATGATAATATAAATAATCATATTAAGAGTTTGGGAACATGTATAATAACACTCTGAGTTGAGAAACAGGTATTACGAGAAGTTCCACATGTTGTTGTGTTAAGCATACTCCCACTTTTATTTCAATGTGTTAGGGATCTGACAGATCTGAAAAGCACTTACGTGTTACTGCCAAGCATAAGACTTAAATATAAAGTCATCTGTTCAATACCTTTTGAGAAATGTGTGACAAAAATTTTTAAGTTTATTCAACATATTGTAACATTCAAAACAGAAATGAGTGACGGGAATAATATTTGAACCAACAGATGGATTGATGAACAGACAGATAGACGAACTATTAGGGAACAGGTATAATGATAATCTTTGATAAAGGATCAGGTATAACTAGACATCATTGAGATGGGAGCCATCTCTGTGGGACCCGCTGTAAATAACGTGTGGTAAAACATTTGTACGGATAAGCTGACCTTGACCTTTGACCTAGGGAGTTGTACATACATTATGACACACCCTCTGGTGGTTAATATACATGCCAAGTATAAACTTTGAAATCATAAAGGTTCTCAAGATATAGAGCGGACACGATCTTAACCATAGGACATGGGGTTGTCAACTGAAACCAAAGTTTTTGACCTTGAACTTTGACCTAGGAAGTTGTACAAACATTATGACACACCCTCTGGTGTTGGTTAATATACATGTCAAGTATAAAGTATGAAATTATAACGGTTCTCTAGATATAGAGCGGACACAATTTGTTATGGACGGACGGACAGACTGATCACTATAGGGCAACCCGCCAGTGGCTGGGCCCTAATAATTCTCTATAAGTTTGGGAACAGGTTTTTGATACATTCTGAATTTATAAATATTTTTTAAAAATTTAGAATCTAAGGTTCTAAATTTGCAAAATTGATTCTAAACTTTGCAGGTAACTTTTTGTCTTAATAGATCATACCTTATTATATATTTAAAATATTTTTTTGGAAATGGGCATCCAAAGTGAAAGTTATTCAACAGAAGTTTTCTGAACTTACACATGCCATTTTTAATTTGTACACAATTAGCATTAAAATGTAATATTTTCTATTTCATTACATTAAATATGAATGCTACAAAAAAGACATATTACTTTTTAGCACTCTTATGAACCATTTTCAGAAATAATTTAGAATGAGAAAAAATATCTTAATATATTTCTTTGTAACTGGATTTCATATGGACCATAATTTCATTAACTAAGCATTACAAAAAATCAATTGAATTATCGTGCTATAAAGCAGTGATGCTGAACATAGAATCTGGTGACCCCTGAGGTTTATTAAATTATACAAGAATGATTAAATTGATTTTCATGCAGGTGAATCTTCTTAATGACAATGACTCAACAGTTTCCCTTTTAATGTGAGATTCAAGGCTCAATACTTGCATGAATATATCTTTTTTTGGAGGTGGTTACTGTTGCTTTGTTTTTATTTGTTTATTATTTTCCTAAGAGACCATACATAGTAAATGAAAAGTCATGCAAAAAATTAAACTAATTTCTCATTATGATATGTAACATTAAAGAATTTCAACAGAAACTGATCCTAATTTCAATTATATTACTCTTATGACAGTTGGGTGTGAACAAAATTTTTAAAAGGCTTCAATAAAACATTTCTAAATCATTTGTTTCAGTGGACTTAATACAAGTTTAGGTAATCAGAGATCAAAAGAATAAATACCAAGTCATGCACATTACTTGACAGAGCTATTTACTAAATGGCACATTTCAGTGCAACAAATGACAAAAGCAATGTTTTAATTGAGATATTTCTGCAGTCTGTGTAATTAACTTGATGGCAACCATTTAACATTGTTTGAGAACTTTCCACAAGTAGTAGGTGACTCTGGCCCACATTACTCATCATTGATTATTTTAAGTTGTACATTTATGTTCACCTTTCAGTTTGTATTAAGGTAGGTAGAACATAGGTAGCACAACATGCATACGCACTTGCCTCTGATTTACAGAAATGGATGAGTCTATATTTGGCTATGGGAAAACCCCAAATCAATCTGATTGAAAACTAATAAATAATACATAAAGAGGATAATAAAAAAAAATAGATCAACCACCAACACCTTACACCAACTCAAAAAAACAGACAAACAATTATTGATAAACAATAACAAACATGGGCCAGATAGCCTGACTAAGTACAAACACAAAATGTGGTGGCTTTAAACCAGTTTTATGTAAGATCAAAACTCCACTATCTAGACCATGTGTAGTAAAATTGAAGCATACTATAAACAAGTCCCCTCACAGCACACAAGCCAGATATCTAGAAACCAAAATTGTTACAAACTCTTTCTCCACAGCCAAATATACATAACAAGAGTGCACACACTGAAATGTTCAACCTGCTTTACTTATCATGATTGAATTTTATGTTGAAACTGTGCAATATGAAGGTTTTACTATAAGTTTTTAATAAAGTAAACATTATCAATGATCAATGTAAATGAGGTCAAGGTCAGATGAACGATACCAGACAGACAGACAGACATGTACACCTTACAATTATACCATACACCAAATATAGTTAATCTATTGCTTATGGTATTCGAGAAACAGACTTATTACGAAAATTGAACATTGACCAATGAACCATGAACCATGAAAATGGTGTCAAGGTCAGGTGAACCATACCATGCAATCATTCCATACACCAAATATAGTTGACCTATTGCTTACAGTATCTGGAAAAAAAAACATAACCATGAAAACTTTACATTGACTAATGAGCCATGAAAATGAGGTCAAGGTCAGATGAACTCTGCCGATGAACTCTGCCAGACAGATTTGTACACCTTACAATCATTCCATACACCAAATATAGTTGACCTATTGCTTAAAGTATTCGATAAACAGACAAAACCATGAAAATTTAACATTGATCAATGAACCATGGAAATGAGGTCAAGGTCAGATGAATCCTGCCAGACAGACATATACATGCTACCATTATTCTATACACCAAATATATTTGACCTATTGCTTACTGACAAGTAGACCAAATCAGAAAAAAATTAACATTAACCAATGAACCATAAAAAATGAGGTCAAGGTCAGATGAAACCTGAAAAGAAGTGACAGGTACACATTACAATCATCCCATACACCAAATATAGTTGACCTATTGCTTTTAGTATCTGAGATATGGACTTTAACCTTAACCTTGATCACTGATCCATGAATGAGGTTGATGTCAGGTGAACCCTGCCTGACAGACATGTAGACCTTGCAAGGAAGCCATATACAAAATATAGTTATCCAATTACTCATAATAAGTCACATGACAAAAAAAACCATACCGGTACTTATTTCAAGCAGTCGCTGAACCATGAAAATGAGTTTAAGGACAGTGGCCATATGACTGATGGTAACATAAGGCATATCTGCAAACAAATAGTTTATGCTGTGGCTGCTACCGCCAGATTGTTATCCCCATGTCTTGCATGGCGAGACAAAAACCCTTTTGCACTTTCAACAAAATTTTCAGGGGTTAAGGAAAGAGTTGAGCTCTGGAATTAATTGTTAACCCCAATATATCTTTATGTGCCTGTCCCAAGCAAAGAGTTGGCAATTAAATGTTCCTTGCTTGTTGCAGTCTGCTATAATTGATATGACAATATGCACATATTATCTTTTCAATTGATTCACTTAGGGGGTGTTAAACTACCTTGAGTACCCATGAGGGTCTCGCATTGTCGGTAATTCATTCAGGCATTACAGGAAAAAGTGGCTACAACTTCCAAAGAAACCACTTAAACAGAAGAAACTCTATCTGTAAATTCTTGTGATATGATTATATTATCCAAAATATTTATTCACAA